TAAATCCTGTAAGCCAACGAATTCGGCAGCATTTGTAAAGGGCAGTGAGAATGCATGTACTCAACATAACACAGAAGGGACATCCAGGAATCCCACTCTTTGAAACTTGGATCTAATCAGTCTAGTTGTTTATGTAGTTAACATCTCATACTTCATACTTTTTAAAGTGTCTTGTAAGTTGAAGATATTTAAAACTAGAGATAAATACAGAACTGCATAAAATTTTAAGAAAGACGAATCAATAAATTCGAGAATAAACGAAAATAGATTATTAATAAATATATAATAATTTAAAAATATTTGGATTAACACTGCTGCCATCCTCCCTTGATCCCTTCAACACGGGATCGTAGCCACTCTGTATAACTAAGAGGAGGTTTGCAGCAAGACCTGGATCCACAGCTAGTGAAGCACATTCCTCTGGTGCAAATCCACAATGCAAGCCGAGTACAGTTTTCTGAAGCTTTCATCAATAGTTTGACAACATTTGGCATGGTATTGGACAATCTTTCCAATCCAGTCTTCCTTAACAGAAGCTCCAATATATGAAGGACTAATTCCAAGCACTCATTATTAATCTAACATGGTATCAGCTCCACTAACCGAGGAACTGCCCCAACATCAATTTCCAGGCTAAATGGTTTGTTTTTGTAACATTTCAATTTAGGGGTTAAATTTAAGAAATTATAAAGTATTGAAATTAATTGGTATTTTAGAAGAAAATTAAGGATTAAATTGTAAGATTTTAAAGTTAGTAGACAGTTTTAAGAAAGGCATGAAATTCAGTGCCTAAACTCATGATTTGACTATTTTTATTTTTGGGAGAATTATAAACACCGTGCGCAGGCAAGTTCAGCAGAATGATTTCCAATTTTCCTCTTCCGTTGACCCAACTTTCAACTCCGATCTACTCACCGTTCGACCTTCGATCGACGATTCGAAACCACCATCGTGTTCGTTGTCGAGCGAGGAGCAAAACCCCTCAAACCTTTCGTTATGAATCGTCGCCGTTCGTCGTTAATTTCAGTCGGAAGTATCGTCGGTAATAACCCGATTTTAGTTGGTTTTTCATCGATTCACGACGATCGGGTCATCCGTTTACGACACCTCCAACACCATCGTGTTCCTTGTGCCGTTCCGAGTCCACCGGTGTCTTCCCTTTTCTCTGGCCGCGGCGGCGCGTGTGGAGGTGAAGCGGTCAAAGTTTCCGATTCGTTGAAATCGAGCTCTCCGCCGTTCAAAAATTTGAACCGAGCTTTGTAAGTATCTCGAAATCGCTCAAAATAAATTTTAGAAATTTTTCTGTGAATTTTACGCTGCCGGAACAGTACCCACGCGCCACCACTGCGCGTGGGGATGGTCCAAATGACCGGTTTGACCGGTTTTGGTGCATAGTTGACCGGTTTGACCGGTCATAACCCGACCCGTTGACCGTTGACTGGCGTTGACCACTATTGACCAAAACTTTGACGGGCTTTGATCGGGCATTAAACGACCTTTGACTTTGACCGAGTATATTTATCCTGACATTTTTCGACGTTCCAAATCCGATTCCGCTATCTGTTTTTCGAAATTCGAACCCGAAGGCCTCGAAATTGCTGATCAAACCCGTTGACTTTGATTTTGACCCGAAAATTTCAAATTTCCGAAAAGTCATATTTTATGCTTTCGACGTCCTGAATCTGAATCCGAAGTCTGTTTCGCCAAATTCGAACCCGGTAAGCTATTTTTTACTGATTTATCACCCAATTCGATCCGTTTATCGCAATTAAACCCCGTTTCTGATATAATTTATGTTGATATGTATCTGAGGAATTATTGGAAGTTGAATTAAAGATCAAAGGCGTTCGAATGGAATTTTTATGGTAAATCAGTATTGCACAGAAATCGAGGTAATACTTTACTACCTCTTTATGCTTTATAGAACATGTTGGTATTAGTAAATGTATGAATGTAAATGTTTGGTCTCGTATGTATAATTAATGAAGATCTACACTAGATATAAATACGGTAGAAAGTAGGTAACTGAATATGACTCAGATTACTATTATAAGAAATTGGAGGACAGTTGGAATTAAATTACAAGTTCTTGAATTAAGTGATAAAAGAATCAACCATGGATATGTAGATTATAATTTATCTCATTAAAGGTACTTAGATGATAAATTATGAAAATATTTCGATTAGGTAAAATTACGAAATTACCCTTATGTTGGAAAATGATAAGAATTGTCCCTGGAAGTAGATTAATAAATCTGAAAAGAATTATAGATCTGCTAAAACTATTGATGTGCATAAGAAATGTTAGTTTTACTTGGAAATTATGGATAACCGGTTTTTAACCCCAAGAAGGTTTATACTAGATACTAAAAGTCTTTTAAGGAATCATTTCAAGATTAAAGAATGTTCGAGGAAGCAATTAATCATAGGATCTCTATATTATATTATTTTCGTTAAGACCTAATATCGAAATTATCTGGTTAAGAAATTACAAAAATGCCCTTGAGAGGTAAAATAGTCAGAGTTGACCCTGAAGGAGAAAGCACTTTGAGGATTTGTACTTAACTCGATTAAGTACAAATTTAATTATTAATATTCTGTCTTTGTAAAAAAATTCATATTTGTAAAATACGAGAAGGCACTTGACCCGAAAATGTCCGAGTTATGAGTAAATACATGAAGAACAATTTATCGGAGGGTGCTCTTTTATCAGAATTGTTCGAACGGACTGGAATTGATGATAAATTGGAATTAAATAATAAGACCAGATGGAGGAAAAAGATTGAAATACCGTGGATCTGTAAAATGACCAAATTACCCCTGTAATGGAAATGACCCAAGAATATCACCAAGCTCAAGAATGATGGGATATCCTTGAGCTCTGTTATGATTGAAATAAAACTGAAAACCAAAATGATCAAAATACCCTTATGGCCTATATTAAGTAAATGTCTTGGATTAATTAAGGAATCCAAGTAAGCATAGGTATTGGACTACCTTTAAAGGTAATGAGAAATAGTTTAAGTGAGTAGATCAACCCTAAAGTTATGTAAAAACCTGAATGACATAGATATTACTGGAACATGTATTTGTCTTCTCAAGTTTGGCTTTTGGAAGTATTCAGCTCAACTCAGCTCTAGATCGTATTCAGTACTAAGAATTGGACGTTTGTTCGACAAATCAACCACGAAGACCAAATTGAATAGAATGGAAGTACAACATGTATATGAAATTCAGGAACGTTTGAATTACTTTGGAAAATCCTGAAGTAACTGGAATGGACATGACTGCTAAATGAACTAGGTAACCTCAATGACTGAGGATTTAATAAGTGATTTGGATAAGTTTGGAAACTCTGATGAGTTTACGTAGTGTACAATTATAATGGGTTATGAACAAATTAATCAAGTACGTCAGCATTTCATGATATTGTGGAAGCGTGGAAATGAAATAAAGACATTAGAAGATTTATTCAGGCGATGATTCCGAAAATGATCTACGGACAAGAATTTGTGGTATTAAAGAGTAAATACCCTAAAAGGAAAATGAATTGACCAGTCGACATAGATTGTTAAGGTTTTGAATCTTTGTTCTCAAGTTGTTCGATTATCCGATCAATTGACATGGATGTAAATGATTCTGAATACCCTTCTGATTACGTACAACTTCTGAAAACTGTCCGAATAAGATAATATCCTGATAATTCACATTCTGAATAAATGATGATTCTGTCAGTTAATGAACTATTCCAATAGTGATTCTAAATTCCAACATTCTATCGACATACTGAAGAACTGTGTTTCTCTGCCTGATACAGTACCTCTAAATAATACCTGTAAACTCTGGTGTGTTCCCTAATTACATGAATATTTTATCTGATATTGACATGGATTCTGATCTGATACATGACCTGGATTCTGATATGATACTTGACTTAAATTATTTTTTGATTTTTGACATATCCGTTTACTGACGAAACATGTTTTATTGGAGGTATTGTTGGAGGAAGATTACTTGGAGGTTCCTCGGCTGTGTGCTCAGGGCCTTACTTACCAGTTCCTCGGCTTTGTGCTTAGGGCCTTATATGATGTGTTGGGTTGAGTGTATGGTTCTGGGGAACCTACACATTATGATGTGTTGGGATGAGGGTATATATATATATATATATTTTAAAAAGATTTGAAAAGTTACATGGTTTTTGAAAACACACACTAGAAAACCTATTCTGATCTCCTGAACTCAGTCATCCAAAATATTTCTCTGAACTGAAAGCTCATTGTCCGTTACCACCTGAAATATCAGTAGGATCTCTGCTCAGCATAAAAATCTGTAAATGTTCGGAAACAATAAGGAAATATATATTTATCTGTATTTACACGTTCATCAGCATCATCTGGTAATTCTGTATTACTGAGCTTTCCAAAGCTTACTCTATTACTCACATTTTCAGGTTAAAAGAATTAAACCGGTGCATATATCGATTTCAGTAAGGGAGTTCTTCCGGCGTTGTTACAGAGTATGGTACATGTGATTAGGATGCATGTAATTGTATTTTATTTTATATACGAGACTGAAAACTTGTTTTATTTCTGAACATTGATAAGTCATACATGTTTTAAGAAAAATTTTAAAATTTTTAGTATTTTTACGGTGGGTCGCTCCGATGGCCCTAATATAACTTTTAGGATCGAATTAGATCCTCCACATCGGTCTGGGTTTACAGTTTTACATCAAATTCCTGATGCACCAGTTGCTGCCCATTCGCCGTGAAGCTTTACAACCAATCATTGAACCCTGTTGAAGATTATCACAAAAACCAACTAAACTTTTGGTTTCCGTTCATATATTACTCTAACGTGAATGATTAGATTAATTAATTCAATATTAGAAGAGGGAACAAAATAGGGAAAGAAACAAACGTTAGAACAAAACATTGCATCGTCACGTGATAATCACGTGGGGTGCTCTTATCCTTTTGTTAAAAAATACCATAATAAGACAAAATAACCCAATCTATCGTCCAAAAATTATTCCATACGTGTCGACGTCCCCATTCACTTGTCAAATTTCTCAATGGACCCACCCTCTAGTAGTAGAAACTCACCGAGAGAGGGCCCTCCTGAGCACTTGGGACAGCAACGCTGGAACGGTCAAATGGGGCAAATGGCCTTCCGTTCTCAAAATCTCCACCGTCGTTCGTCCGCCTAGATGGCTCCTTAAATACTCCGCCACCGAAGCCGGAACAGACACATCTCTGGCTGTCTGGATAACGCAACACGGTACCCTCACCAGCCCAAGTACCCCCCTCAGATCACTGTTGAACACCGTCCTGGAAACGAACAACGATATGTCCGGTCTCATGTTGAAGAGAGTCCGGCTGAACTCCCGAACCGCTGTCGGCACATCTGCCCCCACCGCTAGTGGGGCAAACCCGTTCACCCAAGCTTCATAATTCGCTTCCATTGCTGAAAATACCTTCTCAATCTCACCTTGCTCGAAACCCCCGTGGTAATCCTCGTCATTAAGAAACCTGTAAAACCACGATTTTCATTTTTTATATCCGATCCATCTAATTTAATTCAAATTCACAACACTACTTCACCGGTAAATAAACCATACAAAAAATAAAGCATACCTGGGGGAAGCGCCGATGAGGATGAGTTTGGAGAAGAGTTGAGGGCGGCGGATGGAAGCCAAGATACCGATCATGGCGGAGACAGAGTGGCCGACGTAAGCGCAACTGTCAACGCCGAGAGATTTGAGAATATTGAGCAAATCATCGACGTAGGGATCGAGAGTGGTGTACCGAGTGAAATCGAAGTAATCGGGGTTGACACTGCCGGCACAAACGAGGTCGTATAGAATTATACGATACGAAGGTGTAAAAAGTGGGAGAATTCGTTGCCATACCGATTGGTCGGTGCCCAAACCGTGGGCAAGGACTAGGTACCGGTCGCCGGAGCCAACAATCTGGACGTTCAAAGCTTCTAGAAGGTTGTATCCCATGTTTTAAGAGTCGTACTAGCTAGGAAACTGTCGTGCTAGGGTACGTTTGTATAAATAGTAGTTTTGTTTATTATTTAATATTTTAGCTTAAACATTTTTATTTTTAATTAAAATAGTCGATAGAAACAATTAATTAATTAATAGTCAATTTATATTATTAATATAGTATTTTTATATATATTTAATTAATAACATAATATATATCACGTCATTAAAATAATAATATGATATATACATAATTAAATGACGATGTTAAATATTTCACATCACTTAAAATGATGATAAATCATATATTACATTATCAATTAAATACATATAGTCAACTGGTAATCATTGTCTAACACAAATTACTTTGATACAAAAATTAAAATGTTGAGATCAAATCACTTTAAAATATATATAAGATAAAATGAATATTTATGTGAACTTTTTGATAATTATACCTTGTGAATAATGATGCAAAACACTACCTATTGAAAGAAAGAAGTTAAGGTGCATTCAAACTTCCACTTTAGCTAATAAAATGTTCAGTGGGACAGTTTTTGTACTAGTTGTAGCAGGACCTATCACAATTGACAATACTAAGCATTACCCTCTTTTCAAACAGTATCTTGTATAGTATCTTAAGAATTGGGACCGAGGAAAATGTGCAGATAAGTTATGGCGTTTGGGGCCCTCTTCCTATGCCCAATTGTACGTTATTTGGGTATGGCTTGTTTACTACTTTGTGGAGGGTTAAGTTTTCGTGGTGTCTTTTATTTGTTTGATGAGACAACTCACTGTTGCGTAATGGCAGATTCTGCAGTGTATGTCACCTCATATCCATTAGAAAAAAACTTTAAGGTATATTTCGTTTTAATAACTAAATTTTTAATTTTTTTAAAATTATATCTAAAGTTTAGTTTTTATTTCATTTTAGTTCTCATCAATGAAAATTTTAGTTTTTATTTCATTTTAGTATCTCATTCAAAAACTTAAACATTAAGTTTGGAAAATAAAAATAAAAATTTAGGTACTAAAACGGATCAAAATCGATAGTTTAAATACTAAATACGTTAAATTTTAATGGTGATATACTAAATATGAAGTTTACCAAAATTAATAATTTAAATAGTACCAATATGTAGTTTACCCAAAACTTTATGATTTATACTAAGAAAGGTGCTTGTGTCCAATGAAAAAGGGGAATTATTATTTTTTGATAAGTAATGGGGAATTATTGTAATCCACATGTTGGAGAACAAAAATGAGTGCTATATCAAGTATACATAACTTTTTTTTTCTTGAAATGAATAGTTTGTGTAAAATAGTATTACAATTCAGTGAATTTTAATCCACAAAATGGCATATTTATAATGAATAAAATCAATGTCAAATAGTTCATATCCCCTACAAATATCGGATTCTCTGGTTGAAGAGAGAGACGGGAGGACTTGGAAAGTTAGTTTTAAATATTATCAACAAATTTTGGACATAATCATTCCCTTCCTCTTCTTCCTGTGATGCCATCTTCCTCTATAGTCCTTCCTTCAGTGTTACCAAAGGTTTTACTACCGATAGTCCACTACTAATAATGATTAATAAGGTCTTTTTTAGCATTGAAGAGTAAGTTTTATTTTTAACTTTTTTGGCATGCTTGTGGGATTGTGACTCCCATATGCATATAAAATGGATGTGACTTGTACTTAGATTTGACATGTCCTTTTTGTTGGATAAGGTGGGTTGATTTCAATTTTCAATCCCTATTTCTTCAACTGCTTTCCACAGCTTTTTATTTGCTCCACCATTATTACTACCAAGAAACTTCATTATGAGATTTAACTTTAATATCTTATATATTTTCAGGTCTTTGAATTTATAAACTAACAATAATTCACATGTTGGTTCGTAATTAGCACAAATTAAAAGTAAATATAAATAATTGAATTTTATTATAAGATAACATCGTATAATTTATAAACAATACATAAACTTGTATAAATTTCAGTTCGTTAAATATATATAAACCCCTTCATAATAATAGTCTCCCCACGTTAAATAAACCTTGGGAAAACATCAGCCCATGCTAAAGAATATTGACCCAAATTCAATCGGGAAATGGAATGGAATAGGCCAGCTCTTCTTCTTTTAACCCAAATTTTAAGTAGCCATTTAACCAGCGCATATAGATCATACATTTTCAACATAAAAAAAACCCTCATATTTTTTTATGGTATAATCATTTGTATCTGATCTTTTGATCAATTAATCCAAATTGAATATTACAGAGGTAAAGTCTACCCTCCCAACCCAATTTACAGAATATCCCAACCCAATTTACAGAATATACTAAAGTATGTTTCTTTTAATTTTACAGAATATTATTTATAAATTTATCATTGATTTTTTAAAATTTACAGAATATACTAAAGTATGTTTCTTTTAATTTTACAGAATATTATTTATAAATTTATCATTGATTTTTTAATGGTATAGGTAATTATAAGGTAATATTTATTCAAAATCTTAATCATTAACGATGCATGCACATCTTACAGATACAACTGCTCAAAGTTAGAATTTTAAAAAAATAATACTCCTTTTAATCACTATTGAAGGCACTGGATGAATTTGTTTATCATTGATTTTTAATATATAGCATGAATTAAAACTTTTATTTTTTCCTAAGAAAATAAGTTCATAGCGTTTTCATAACAATTTCGAATAGTGATTATGTGATTACTTTCTTGTTTATTTGTATTTTATTATATATTGATAATATCAAATTGATTGTATTTTCATACGCTCAAAGAAAATTACAGTAGCAAGAATAATTTTAATAGAATGGTATTATAGTTTTTAGGGTTTTCTTTAAGTTTAAAATTTAATTTATTTCAGAAAAAACAATGTCTAAGTTTATTTTTTTTCAAAATATTTTCTCGTTATCTTATTATTTTCTTATAATTAGAAAATCATAATTTAGTCACTTTATTAGCCACAACTTCCTGGGGAGAAGCAAAACACAGCTGGTCGAAGTGGTGGGATGGGGCGAGTTTGGTCCAGTCTAGTGGCCACTTTATTGCCGGTTCGTGGTCAATTTAAATATAACTTTTTAAATATACATTGATTAAGTGATTAATGATGATGTTTATACATTTATGTTGTCATCATCCGACTCGTACTAACATGTGTCTTTGACATATATCACATACATTTTTTTAAGACAGAAGTCATATATGTTTTCATAGTTTAGTCATTTTCTTTTTCTTTTTTCATTTATGATCGTTCTTTTACAAACTCTGACAATTGTATTTCTACGTAGACAAAGTATCATTAAATAAATATAAATTAATTTTTATAAGAAAATATATAAAATATTTGTCTTATGAACTTGGAACACATGTCATATTGTTCCAACTGTCAGGCCAAGAAAACCCCAAAATGGGTCTTAAAGTTCCACCCTGAAGAACCGTTTCCACCGTCGCTCGACAGATGTACCACTTTCCACTCATAACAGCCTCATCGCTCCGTTCACAGTAAGGGCACAAGCCTCAAACAATAAAGACTGAAACAAAGCTATAAAAACACAAAACAGAACTCTTTAAATGCACGCAAAAATATTAAACAAATAATCTATAACACTTTCAGTATCAACTTCTTCCAAAATATCGCTCTCAATGGCCATTAAAGCAAATCCATTTAGCCTTTCTTGTGACATGGTTGTCCGTAAGTATGACTTGATCAACTTCAATTTCGAAAAACTCCTTTCTACAGAAGCAACAATTATAAGAATATTCAATAAGATTCTACATGCAATTGTGACATTTGGAAAGCAATTAAAACGCTTCAAGAACTTCAATAAATCAATTGCTCCCATTTTTTTTCCTTAGGTAAAATCTCCCTAAGTAATTTTAACTCAATATACAAATCATGTCTATCACAATCTGATAACTCACCTTTCCTAAGAGTATTCTCAAAGTTAATACAACAAGATTGGAGTTTAATGTCATCCTTTGAATGCAACTTATCAGAATTGAACAAAAATCCAAAAACACTCTCATACAATTCATATTGTTCAAACCTCTTTTCCAATGACGAAATAGCTTGATCAACAATGCAGATGAAATATTAAATTCTAAATGAATTCTCTGGAGATAATGATGTTTCCTCACCATTAAGCTCGTCAAATTGTCTTTTTTTTATGTATCATAAGCCTATGAGGAAATACAGGGTCGATTCCAATTTCAATAACTATTGTTTTTTTTAAATATTCATGGCATTGGAAAATCCAACATCTCTATAATTCTTGAAAAAAGATATTAACCCTTTTATCTTACTCATAGCAATATCAATCAACATATATTTTGACTGTAAATATTTGCTAACCAAGTTCACATCAAATAGAGTTTCATACCAAATGATTGTAGAAAGCAAAAATTCAAAACTACCAAGTTCATTTGTAGCCAAGGATTTCACTTCACTTTGAATTTTATATTCATTATCAACATCAGCTAGTTGTAACAAGGCTTCTCGTAATTCAACAATTTGAAATCTTATGCCCTTAATACTATCGACTCTACTATCTCATCTTGTGCCTGACAATGATTTGGGAGTATAATCTTTCACATTTTCTTTTAAAATTTGCCACCACTTTGTTGAATTAGCAAACAAAATATAAATGTACTGAACTATTCCAAATAAATCTCTTGCTTTATTTGAAGTGTTTACAATGTCACATAACACCATATTAAGACCATGACAACCACATGGATTACAGAAAACTCTAGGATTCAAATCTAATAGTCTTTTTTTGTACACCTTGATTCTTACCTTTCATATTAGACCCATTATCATATCCTTGACCTCTAACATTATCTATATCAAGATCATGAGAATTAAGCACATTTTCTAACACTTCAAAAAGCCCTTGGCCAGTTGTATCATCAACTTGTAAGAATTTAATGAAAAGTTCTTTAATTTCATAAGTATTTAAAGAGTCATCAACACACCTTGTAATCAAGGTCATTTGTTCTTGATGATTAGCATCAAGTGTACAATCCAACATCATAGAAAAATATTTAGCCTCTTTTATTTTTTGGATTATGATCTATCTAATTTTAGAAGAAAGCAAGAGTATTAACTCATTTTGAATATCATGACTCAGATAATGGTGATGAATCTTACCACTATTAATACGTTCAACATGCTCTTTTATAACAAGATCAAACTCAACCAACATTTCTATCAAACCTAAAAAAATTGCATTGCTTGTCTGATATAACCTTTCTTTTTTTTCCACGAAATGTAAGATTATGTGTAGCAAGATACTTCATAACAACAATGATTCTTACAATAACATTTTTCCAGTACTCCTTTTCTTTTTTAAATTGTTCTCGAGTAACTTTATCAATTGTTTCGCTTTGTTGCAACCTATGTCGAAGTTCACACCAAGTCTCCATACTCAATACATGATCAAGACTGGTTTCATGTTCTTTAAGTCTAGTACTAATATGCATCCAATCATTAAACCCTTTATTTACTAAATGACCTTTTCTAGGACCCTTTTTAAAGATATTGCAACAAAAATAGAATACTTTGTCAAGCTCCTTTGAATAAACAAGCCAATCTCTATCACAAGTTTTACCATTAGACAAATATCTTGTATAAAAATTTAAAGAAAATCTGCGAGAAAGTTTGCCTTTAGGGCCTTTTACAAGGGTCAAGTCTCTTTTGGGGCCATTTACAGCCAAAATGTCAATCAATTTTGAATCAAGAGAACCCATTTTCTTGGATCATATATATCAACTAAAGTAGATTCATTTTGCTCAATATTATGGTCAATATGATCAGAATTATGCTCCAAATTTTGCTCAAAATCATTTGGAATATTGGCATTTTCCATATTAACATCATCACCTACATTCTCTGCTGGTTCAATATTCTCATCATCAACATTAACCCCATCTAACTCATTTGAATTATCAGACTTTTCCTCAACTTGGGGTCCTTTTAGAAAAAAATTATCTAGAGCACCTTTATGAGATTGAATTAACTGTTCTACTCTCTTAGTTTTTTTACGCTTTTCATAACCATATTGATATTTTTGAACTATATTGAACACAAAGAACACTCATAGACTAAACAAATGATAAAATTAAAAATTATAGTTTTTTTACAAGATTATCTAGAGAAAAGATTGCACCAAGATTCCCGTTTTTTTTGCAAGATTAAGTAATCCAACTCTCCTCACTATAATCAATAAGTTAACCTTTGCTATCTATATTAAAAACATAATTAATTGCATTTACGAGCATAACTATTAATGGTAATTACAAAAAAAGTAAAAAAAAAATTGAAAAAAAAATTACCATGCAATAAACTTTGTTGTTGTATTGCTGCCGTTGCTTTGCCAGAATGAGGAAGATTGAGAAAATACTCACAATTTGTTTAACCTTGAAGTATATTATTGAATTTCTAGATCTTATAATTTCCTTAGCAAAAATTGCAAAGCTTGAATACAGTATATATAGGGAGATTGGTGATATTACTAACTCAAATCCTAACAGATTAATTATCAATTTAATGATAAAATTGATGATTAATCCGTTAAATTAGAAATTAGACACAATCATCTCTTCAACTCCTCTTGGAAGGGGGACTATTTAATTTTAAGGAATTTATTTTGCAAAAAAAAGTGTGGTTGTTGGAAAATTGAGTTTAACAAAACTAATTATTTAAAGGAAGGTAAGAAATTTATGATTATGGTGGGAATAGGAATTAACGAGAGAAGATGAATAATTGAAGTTTAGTAAAGTGATTTGAAGAAGATGAGCTCCTTTCTCGTAAAGTGGAGTGAGACCCAAAAAAAATATGAGATAAGTTGTACAACTGTAGCACAGTACTAATTATTGGTAATTCCCATATGACTTCAACAAGATTAGACCGCAGGTTCTGTGGTTTTGGGCCCAAAATTTTTACCATTGATCCATATTACTTTGTTTCCTTTTTTATTGTAACAATAATAACAAATCTAATCTTTGGGGCACCTGCTATTCCGGGGCCCTGTTTCGTCACGTACGTTGCGCCGTCCTAGCCCCGCCTCTGATAAAGATATATATAATGGATATGTAAAAGTTATATATGAATATACTATAAATAAAATATATATATATATATATATATATATATATATATATAATGAAAGAAAAAAAAGATAAAAATGAGAAGAAGAGTTAATATTAATCCATACAAAATTAAGACTAAAATAAAATAAACTTGCGAGATTCGATATATCAATTAATCCATGAATAAGAAGTGAATCCAAAATAACCTCTATTTGTTCATTGGTGTGTAACGAGAATAGAGCAAAGACAAAAATGATCAAATTTTGTAACACCCATCACCCGTATACCCTTGCGTATATGAGATACATATGTCACATCACTATTATTACTATTCCTCATTCGAAAACCCATAAAATTTTGTTTCGTTTTATAAAACATTTAATTCACTTATAATAAAAAATACATTAACTTAAATAGACTAATAAAAAGAGATGTTCAAATACCTCACCATGTTACAACATTTTAATCCAAATACTATTCAGAGCGTTTATACTAAACCCTATTACATGCCAACTAAAATACATCAAAAGTAGACATGTATGTCATACGGTTACTGATGAGGCGACTCTGGTTTGATGTCCGATAATCTCCTTACTCAGCTTGTAATTCCACCTACGCGTGAAATAAACACACGTTAAGTATTACTTAGTGAGGCAAAACTAATCATACAAAGAACTCATTAAATCATTATCTTTTATCTATAAAATAACAATTCATTATTTTTCAGTCATTGTCATTTCTTTATAATTCACACGTAGTGCTATTACGATTATTCATAAACATATTATGAATTCCGTGAAATGCTCACTTAGTGCCGAAACTGTTATTCATCCACATAGAATAAATTCTGTGAAATGCACACTTAGTGCCGAAATAATTATTCATCCACATAGGATGAATTCCGTGAAATGCACACTTAGTGTCGAAACAGTTATTCATCCACATAGGATGAATTATGTGAAATGCATACTTAGTGCCGAAACAGTTATTCATTCACATAGGATGAATTCCGTGAAATGCACACTTAGTGCCTAAACGGTTATTCATCCACATAAGATGAATTCCATGAAATGCACATTTAATGCCTATTTGGTAATCACCACATACATATTAAACAATCATACATATATGATTAGTACATCATATAGTTACACAATTAAATGCACTCACCTGACTATCTTCACTAATGTATCCAAAAAGCAAATGTGAAATGCATACTTAGTGCCGAACAGTTATTCATTCACATAGGATGAATTCCGTGAAATGCACACTTAGTGCCTAAACGGTTATCATCCACATAAGATGAATTCCATGAAATGCACATTTAATGCCTATTTGGTAATCACCACATACATATTAAACAATCATACATATATGATTAGTACATCATATAGTTACACAATTAAATGCACTCACCTGACTATCTTCACTAATGTATCCAAAAAGCAAAGCTGCTTACTCAGGTACTTTGCCTTTGCCTTCGTTTTCTTGTTTCGGGATTTTGATTTTGATCTTCTCAAGCATCCATTAAATACATGTACAATATCAATTGTTAGTGTATTTCCTAACAATTACACTTAAATATTACTCAATAGAACCTATTATTAACTTTTCTACAACATTATCAATATATCTTACAATTTCTGGCTCCTCAGTATCGATACCCATACCATAGTATCGATACTACAATACTATGGTACCGATACTATGCTATGGTATCAATACCATTTTTGCATTCTGTTTTGAAATGGTATCGATACCTTCCCTTCGGTATCGATACCGATTGAATCCGTATCGATACTACTTAGTAGATTCATCCTATTTTAGCCTATAGTATCGGTACTGTTTTATCAGTACCGATACCCGTGCCCAAAATTTCTAGTTTTAACCCGATTATCACCCAAATGGGGTTAAATTTTGTTATATATATACCATACAATGCTATTAAACTCTTCTTTAACTATCCATACTAACATTCCTTTATTTAGCCTCTTAAAACATCTAAAATCTTTCAAGAACATTCAATTCTAAGAATCACACCACTTTCCTAATTTGTTCTTAATCCTATCCAATGCTTCTAATATCTCAATTACCTCTTTGACAAGTCAAATCTACCAGTAAACATCCACAAACACTCATATATTAACTTATTATTTTAAAACCCATTTTTTAAAATTTCCAATATTTCTTCAATTTCAAAGTTTTAATCTCATTTAATCATTCCTTAACCTTCTATATCACTTAAGGTTGTAAAAACAACCCATAATCAAAAGGAAAATCTAATTAATTGAAGTTTACCTTTGGATTTATAGAGGAGGCTTTATCCACGTGAAAGAATAATAAAAGGAAATAACTTTTTGGTATCTACTTTCCCTTCTTAACTTTAATACTTTACTAATAATAATTTTAAATTCATTTTCCTTGAATAGACCAAAAAGCCCTCTAAACCATCCATTGTTATAATTTAGTCTAAACCACTAATCTAAATCATTCTCATCTTTTATCATTTACTCGAATAAATCCTCATATTTTTAAATCATTTCAATAAAGTCCCTTATTCAATATTTGGGGCATTACAATTCTCTCCTTTAAGAAAATTTGTCCTAGAATTTAAAGAAGTACTTGAAACAAAAAGATGTGGAAACTGCTTTTTCATATCATCCTCTCTTTCCCAGGTAATATCTTCTACCTTATGATTCTGCCAAAGCACTTTAACCAACAAAATTATTTTGTTACGCAATTCCTTGGTTTTCTTAGCCAAAATTCCCACAGGTTCCTCCTCATAAGATAAATCTGGTCGGATATCTGTTTCTTCAAGTGTGATAACATGAGATGGATTCGATCTGTACCTTCTAAGCATCGATACGTGGAAAACATTGTGGATCTTGTCCATATATGGAGG